TGTTCTGTTTCTGGGAGTAATGTAACTGCTCAGCATAATCGTTCAGTAGTACTTCCTATCATTGTCCACTTAAAATTAATATTCCTTACTCCTAGAAATACAACAATATCCGTTACTTGACTTTCCACTATTTAAATTTCTTAAGTTGATAATGATTTGAAGTAGTTGGGAAGAAATTTATTTTGTTTTTCTCAAGTTTAAATTTTATTCCCAGTACAATAAAACTCAGCTTAAAGCAATTGCTCACTTTACTGAGAAAATTAAAGTAATTATTTCTTGTTGTAGAAGTTTATTCTTAAGATTGTGCCTGGTAGGACAATAGAACCAGTTACACAACTCTTGTTCTGTGTGCTTCAGTAGTGCAAAGTTGAGATGTTTTTGGTTTAATGCTTAGCTGCCTTTCCCCTCATGTCCTTTAGTACACAATATTTCAGCAGTTCACAGTAGTAGAGTGGGTTGTCACTTCAGTGTTCTTACCTATTTCATTGGGGCATTGTAATAGCTACTGTGAAGTTTAAATCTCATACATGCAAAATGCTTAGAACAATATGGGCACAGAGACAAAACCCACCATTAACCATTATAGATGGTGGTAGTGGAGGCTAATGTTGTATGCTGACTTAGGAGCTAGAATTCCCTGCACTTGTTCTGAATAGCTGCTAAGTCCCACCAAACTTGCTGCTTTCTATACAGTTTTGTTATTTTAATAGTTAATAGGGGAATTTCCATCTTGCCTTTTGAGAAACATACTCACTTCAGCAATTTAGTTAGCTAAAATTGTTGAATACAGACTAGAAATGGACAAAGGACAATAAACATATTTGTGTTTCTAGTTGTTTTAAAAATACATTTTCTAGTAACATGGTGAATAAAAAAATGATTTGGGGTCCATATGATAAGCTTAAGCAGAGCCTACTTCCCCCACTCAGGAAAACTGCCTGCATTTTCTTCTTGATGCACATTCAAGGAGCGCGTGAGCTTGTTTCTTCCTCAGCTGTCTGGACTCTCTCTCTAGTAATACATGGCTTTCTTTCTGATGGTACCAAGAGTTTGCTTTTGTGCGAGGCCCTGCTTTTCTACCTTGGATTACCTCCAATGTTTAAAATACAAAGTCCATTTACTGAAGTTCTTATTGGTGGTCACTGCCAGGAAATAGGGTTGACAAATACCCTGAACACTGAAGAAGTGACAAAGACTCAGATGGTCTCAGAAAGCACTAGTCATGGTAGTATATCCATTACCAGTTTACCCTAAATTGTATGTTTGGGGTTTGTTTTATACAGCATGCTTTCTAGTTTCCTAAATGACACCATAATGAGGTGTACTGGTTCTTACGTGAGAACTTGTTGTAGAGACCTGCGGGCTGCATTCCTTCTGCCCGGCTCCCAGCTAGCTTTACCCGAAATAACACACAAACTGTATTCATTTAAACACTGCCTGGCCCATTTCTATTAATGTGTGTAGCACTGAGGTGCGCTTACCGGGAAGATTCTAGCCCACATCCATCCTGGGTCAGAGCTTCATCGTTTCTGCTCTGAGAGGAGCTGCATGATTTCTGAGCTCACTTCCTCTTCCTCCCAGCATTCTGTTCTGTTTACTTCGCCTATCTAAATTCTGCCCTATCAGATGGGCCAAGGCAGTTTATTAGCCAATGACCTTCCTCCATCAAAAACTAGCCCATTCAACCTATCTCTGTGTCAACAGTGGTGTTAGAAAGCTCCAGACTGCTTTCCCTCTGGGAGCTTCACTTTCTCCATCTATGAAATGGGAATGGCTGCACTTGTACACTTGCAGAAATTAGACAGGTTGATGCATCTCAAGTTATGGTGTGAATTTTAGTCCATGCTCTTCCAGAGCTATTTGAACATAAGTGTTCGATCTTCCTGTCTAGAAAATGAAAATTAGTAAGATTTTCATATTCAATTCAGATAGCTGTTTTAAGGATCAAATAAAATAATGTTATGTGAAAGCATTTTGTTAATTAGTATTCTGTGCAGGTGCAAGATCTTAGACCTTAACCCATGAGTTGGTTCAAGGTGATTTCCTTTTTTACTTAAAAAGATTTTCTTGTTTTTAACAAAGTTTGCTTCTGAGTTTTGCAAATGTGAGTTTAGGCGTAGAAGATCCCTCCTTATCCGCCTGCAGCATTGGTCTTGAAATCATTTTGTGGTCACCCCAACTCCACTTCCTTTGCTTCAAATATTTGAAGAGACACTGTCAAAATATTTTAAATGCATACAAATGATTAACATCTATCAAGACGAGAGATTCTCCCATTCTCACTCAGCCATCGGCCCCTGTCAGACATTGAAACACAGCTACCTTCAAAACCATTCCCTTTATTAGCCCAAGGCTTAATATAAAAATTTTAAGGACAGTGCTTATCTCTGTGTAAATAAGCAAACATTTTTAATAGCTTTCTGTGTTCTAAAAAGCACACCAAAATAGGGGAAATTTCCTTTGTTAGAATAAATTCTCTTATTCCCAATTTAAGATTTGAGAGGTGGTTCTCTTCATGGATTAAGTGAAGTCATGAGATGCTGGTTGGTTGGTGTTTGTTTTCTGTGTTTTGGCATTCATGTACCCAGTCTAGCTCCGAACTAGTCATCCTTCTGCCCTTCCCTTTCACACCCATGCCCAGTACCATTGAGATTTTTTTGATTATCATAATTATGTGTGTTACTGACCTCTAGGGATGCTTCTGAAATTCCTAAAATACAGGCCAGGCTACTACAGTATCAAAATAGTGGCAGTACTGAGGCTGAACAACCCTAGTTGAGAGAAACAAATTACATCTTTGGGGAAAATGTTAATTGCTTTCCCATCAGGATGCAGTAAGTTATCCTTGTGAGTACCAAAACTCTGGGCATGTCATTTGGCTAGTCTAGAACGGGGTGGGAGTGTACACAGTGGTGCCCTTTATTTATTTTGGGTAGGCAACTGTGGGCTTTCCTGTCCTCTACTGCTATAGTAAGCTGAAAAAACAGAGGGACTAACTTCCAGCTGCTACCTCCGACACCATTGTTCTCTTTTGTTTAGAAAAGCTGCTTATTACTCCTCCTGATCATGAAAGAGCAACGGTGACTGAAAGTACCCTTGGGTCCTTTGCTGCACTGGGTTCCTAAGGCGGCTCCACCACATGTGCACCTAAGCAGTTGGTTTTGAATCATCCTGTTGATCCACTCACAATGGAACTTCATGGCCACCCATTTGCCTGCTAGAATAGAAATGGTTGTCCTTCTTCTCTTCCCCAGCGGGGACTTGTAGCTGTTTCATAGGTGATAAGCAGAGGTTGTCCCAATGTGAATGGTTAAAAATAAAACCTGTGATATTAAAGGCCAAAGATCAGTTTTCCAGTTTCCCTTCTTTAGGAGATACCCGACAGCATCATTCTAACAGCTTCTTTGTTGTAGATAAAATACTGTTTCTGTTTGTTTGGAGGATATTTTCTTTGGCTTTTGTATTTAGAACTTGTATCTTGGTGTGGATGTCTGAGTTACCTTGAAAAAGGATTATTTACTCTCTTGAATCTTTAGTTTTACTTCTTGTCACAAATTTGTTGTCTTCAGACATTAATTCTTCTTGAGTTCCAGTAATGCAAGGGTTAGATCTTTTGCTGTCGTCCCACTCTTGTTGTCCAGCCTGCCTAATGAACCTTTTATTGTGGTTTTACTATGTTTCTTGGTTTGGCAGTTTCCACTTTGTGCCTTCTGTTTGTTCACTGAGACCTTGTACTTTATCTCACTGTCCCAGATGTGCCTGTAATTGCTTATTGGAGCATCTTATCATGGTTGCATCTGACTTGTTGGGTAAGCCTGGGGTTTGTCATCCATCCATTGGTTACCTCTGTGTTTTAACTCTTTAGTTCTTGATATGTTGGACTTACGTGTTGAAACTTGGACATTTTCAAATTGTGTTTTGAGACTATGTGTTATGTAAACCTTCTGTTTGCACTGCCATTTCCTGACCCTGCTTTGTCAGGATAGTGGGTGTCTTCCTGTTACTGACAGCAGATACAGTCTAGGTTCCCTATTCAGCCTCTCTCAGGTCGAGAGAAGGATGCTTCTCACTACTGCTGAGTGCATATGAGATTCCTTCCATGTCATCTCCACTGCTGTCACTGGGATTGAGTGAGAGTGTGCATTAACACTGTCCTCCTGGGACTTTCTGTCTCTGGTGTGGTGACAGTGGTTTTCAAGGCTCCACACTGAACTCTGGCTGGTGAGAATGGAGCAGTTTCAGTAGTCTTTGCTGCAGTAGAGCAGCTGTAGTCAAAGCTTTCTGTCTTACCAAGCTGCCACCTTAGTTCCTTTAAACAGAAAGCAGCTCTTGTTTACTTTTGTCTATACTAGTTCATATTCTCAGGCTGCTGGCATCCTCAGTTCCACATCTGGCATATGTTAGCCAACGAGAGCACAGGGGACTCACTGTTATTCCTTGGATCCTGAAGTGTTTACCGTCTGCCTCTCTCAGCTTTTCATATCTTCATTCATAGATAGATAGATAGATAGATAGATAGATAGATAGATAGACAGATAGACAGATTGACTGATTTATGTTTATTTATCGTGCCATGGTGTGTATGTGTAGGTCAGAGGAGTTTGCTTCTTTCCCTTCACCAAATGGGGTCCCAGATCAAACAGGTCATTCCGGCTTGCTGGCAAGCACCTTTTCTAGTTGACCGTCTTACCAGCCTCCTCCCTTAATAGATTAGAAAAAAAAACTTTTCCTATCTTTTTTATTATTATAGCCAGGATCTTTAATTATACTTTGTAGAAATAATAGGGAAATGTACAAGTGCTTTCTGTAAAGTAGCAGACAGCCAGATGTACATTTGATCTGTTTGTATCAAATACAGAACTATTATCAGGGGAAACATCACATTCTGGGTATTTCGTGTGGTTTGCGTAATGTGCTCACAAAGACTGCTGGAAAACAGTGTCTTTATTTAAACTGGAATCATTCCTAATGTTTTTTTAACAAAAACCATCTCTCTCTAGGAAATAATGCAAAAGGTGTCTCAAGGCTCCTGATCAGTGAACAAAGATTTGAGAAAGACAGCCAAGCTCATGTTTTCTCCTGATCAAGAAAACCATCCTTCCAAAGCCCCAGTGAAATATGGTGAACTCATTGTCTTAGGGTAAGACCTCAGCATGGTGAGACAACCCAGTATGATGTGGTGGGCAAACTATAACCTTTGTTTTGTGATTGCATAATCCTTGAATGAGATCAACTAAACTGCTTTTCTGTTCTACCAGATATAATGGGTCTCTCCCAAATGGCGATAGAGGAAGGAGGAAAAGTAGGTTTGCTTTGTTTAAAAGACCTAAGGCAAATGGGGTGAAGCCCAGCACTGTGCATATTGCATGTACTCCTCAGGCTGCCAAGGTAAGAGAACGTTCTAAAGAAGTTAGTTGGAAATTGAACTGTTCTTTTGTGTGGTCTATATTCTCTAGTGCTTCACATTTCTGTTTCAAATTTCTCCTTTTGTTTGGATTGAGGAAGAGACTTTGGAAACATGTTATTTGAAAGGCTGCCAAATGGAATTGCCTCTTTCTCCCACCCACCCTTAGTGACAGACCAGGGGCAGGTAGGAATTAGAAGAAAATATTTCCAGTTCCTAAGGCTCTGTGGGTCCTCTGGTTTTTATTTTGTTCTTGGCTTCTGACATTCATAGGACCTGGGCAATCATTGGGTTGAATGCAGACAGAGGAAGTGCATTCCTGCTGGACCAAACACTTCTCACCCTCCAGGCCTTATTAATCCTCCCAGCCCTGTTTATTTCCTCACCAGAAGTTTATAGGCTGGACCTCTAAGACACTATGCCTTTCTTAGACATTTTGCCTTGGAATTCCTCTCTTTCCAGTTTATAACACAAACTGAATTCAGTTATACGGTATCCAAATATAAACAATTACAGAGTTCCTTGACTTTTAGAGCTATCAGTACCTAAGTAGCCCTAAGGTGCACATGAACATCACAGCGTACGTGGTTAAGTGTATGGTGAATAAATGAGATGCATTAAAGTTGGTATATGTTGCTTGTTTTTGGTGCCTAGTCCCCGAAGTTAATTAGATTTCAGCTTTGTTTTATATCCAGCGTGGATATCAAGCCTTGATTTGCCCTTCCCTTGGTCACTATTTGAGAGCCAATGAGTGTGTGAGAAGGACTGGTCTTTCTAAGGTGTTTCTTCTTGTACCTTTGTAGAGGAGGATTGTGTTTAGTGGATGGAGGTATTCTTTGTAGTATTTACCCATGAAAGTGCTCTCGGAATTTGGAATATACCAGTTCTTCAGCATGAAGATTGTCCCACATGTTACAGGTGTTTAGTCCTTGGTTCCATATGCACCAAAAGTCATTTAATCACTAGCATCATGTGTCAGCCAAAAGTATTTCAGTATTTTCAGATGTACATAATACCTCTAGTTGAAGACCACTGTCAAGGGAAATATATATATATATAATCTACTTCTATAATACTTTCTCATTTCGTGTGTGTTTATGCATGTATATGTGTGCAAACGTGTTTGTGTGTGTGCCTGTGAAGGCCAGATGTCAACATCTGGTGGCTTTCCAGTCACTCTCTATCTTGTTTTTGAGTCAGGGTCTCACTGAACCTGAAGATCTTTGACCTAGATGGACTGGCTGGCCAGTGAACTCAAGGTGTCCTCCTGCCTCTGCTTCCCTAACACTGAGATATCTCCCAGCCCTACTTTCTCAATTTTTTATATTATCTCGTCCTTCATGTTTTCACCGTTAGCTCCTTTTTAAACAAAAATCTCAGGGATTGAAAATTGATGAATGTCAAATTTTAAGATTTTTCATATATCTTAAAGAAAATGAATTTTTTTCTATATATCTGGCAGTCATCTAGGATGGATTTAAACCCTGACTTTCAGTGGCATACCCCAATGTAGTTCTTAGTAATAGCTAAAAAATAATTACAGCCTCATTATCCACAAACTCTAGAACTTAAGAGTTAACCTTCAGAACAGTGGTAGGGCTGTTTCCTAGTGTGTGATGTCCTGAGTGTTCAATCCCAGCACATCCACTACAACAAAGCTAACGTCAGCCCTGTCGTGTGGTACACACCTGTATTTTCTGTTCCAGAGGCTAAGGAGGGATGGAGACTTGGAGAGCAACATGGATAGCACCTTGAGACCCTGTCTCCTTCCCTTGCTCCCCTAAAGAAAATTCCAGAAGTTAGCAATTATTTGAAAATTTATTCTCTTAATACAGAGTTTCTGTAGATTTTAAAACAGGTGAAAACAATTATACGTATGAATACATAAATAATAATTCTCTGTATTGCATTCATGAGGATGTATACTTCTAAAGAAAGGGACATAGAAAAGGCATGAGGGTAGCCTCAGTTATATTTCAGAGTTTATTTCAAGAACAAAAAAAAGTAGGGGGAGGCACCAAGATCATTCAGTGAGTTAATGAACTTTGCATTAAGCCTGACTGCCTGAGTTGGACCCCTGGATCATGAGAAGAGAGAACTAACTCCCACATGTGTGTGCGAGCACACACACATTCGCAAATAAATAAATAAGGTTTATGCACAAGATGGAATCTGATTGGTTGTCCACACCTATACAATCGCAGCATGGAAAACTAAGGAGAATCCAGAGTTAATTCAAGGCTAGTCTGCACTGCACAGTGAGGTCTGGCTCATCCTAAGTTAATTCAAGGCTAGTCTGCACTGCACAGTGAGGTCTGGCTCATCCTAAGCTACGTAAGACAGGATTTTAAAAATTTAAAAATCAGAAAGGAAGGAAAGAAATGAAAGCCAGGTATGGTGACACACACCTGTAACCACCACACTCCATAGAAACTGAGATAGGATTTCAAGTTTAAGGCCAGCCTGGACTACAGAGTCTGGTGCACTCAAAACAAACAAACACAGAAGCCTACTGTGGTGGCTCATGCCTTTAATGCCATCACTCAGGAGACAAAGGCAGAACATAAAATCTGTAAATTAGAGGCTGGCTTGATCTACATAGCAAGTTCCAGGACAACCAGGGCCATGTAAAGAGATCCTGTCTCAGAGTAGCCCACAGACAAGTGAGATGGAAAAGTAGCACTTTTAAGCTTTGCAAAAATCTGGTGTTTGGTGCTTAGGTATTTATTATCTTTAGATATTTGAAAATTAATTTCTTTTTTTTTTAAATATTTATTTATTTATTATGTATGCAATATTCTGTCTGCGTGTACACCTGCAGGCCAGAAGAGAGCACCAGACCTCATTTCAGATGGTTGTGAGCCACCATGTGGCTGCTGGGAATTGAACTCAGGACCCTTGGAAGAGCAGGCAATGCTCTTAACCACTAAGCCATCCCTCCAGCCCGAAAATTAATTTCTTTAATATTAAAACTTCAAAAGGCCTTACCTATTACAGATTAACTAAAAAATGAGAATAAACATTTCCCCCTCTTTGCTTTGTTTATGCTTGTGTCTTTTTATCTGTTTTCCTTTTGTATGCCTGTTTCTATGTCCTTATTTCAGTAACTAGGTTTTCCCTTCCATTGTCCTCAACTCATTACCATAGGAAGCCTGAAAATACAACAGAAACAGTGGACGTCCACTTAGGACAAGTAAAAATGTGCCTATCATCATGGTATCTATTTCATCTTGTAATGTTTAATCATCCTATAAATTTTTCTGTATCTGGTCCAGTGTATCATAAACACTTGTTGTCTGTAGGATTATAAAATGAGCTGATAATTCTGACTTACCTGTATAATTCTTTTTTTTTTTTTTTTTTTGGATTTTCGAGACAGAGTTTCTCTGTAGCTTTTGGTTCCTGTCCTGGAACTAGCTCTTGTAGACCAGGCTGTTCTTGATAATTCTTTACATCACTTTAAAAATGAGAGGTTTTTTTCTTGCAAGAATTTTGTGGGTTTTTTCCTCACCAGAGAAATACTGCATGTAGGTTTCCGTTTCCACGTGGTAGTTGATTTCGACTCCATTAAATTTACTTTTAAGTGAAAAGAGTTTAAAGTGTATGTTTTTGTTCTTGTCAAGTGTTCTATAACCACTGAGCCTGCAGAAACCAGTCAGAATTGAAGTTATAGACTTCTAGCCTTTGCCCTAAACTCCAGGAGGGAGATACGTGTGTGTGGCAGATATTTTACCTTTCTTTAGAAAAGAGATTTTTTTGATTTGATTGACTGCTAATTTTTGCTATTAACGTTTTCATTCATAGGCAATAAGCAACAAGGACCAGCATAGCATATCGTATACTTTGTCTCGAGCCCAGACAGTGGTGGTGGAATATACTCATGACAGCAACACTGATATGTTTCAGGTATTATATAACATAATTTTTGTCTTTAAAAATGAAAAAATTTAAGAACCCTATTATCGGTGATTTTGCTATGATTCAATTAAATATTATCCTTTCATAATGTATGTTTAAAATATGTATTGATTGTTGAATCTTCATATCTAAAAGTCATTGTAGTGTTGTTTAAAGATGGGCTTTGAAGCTAGAAAGTTGACTTTAAGGGTTAAGACCACTTGCTACTCTTGCAGAGGACTGAGATTTGGTACCTAGCACCCACATTAGGAGGCTCATAATTGCCTACAACTCGGGTTCCAGGGGCTCTAACATCTCTTCTGGCCTCCAAGTACACTAGGCACACAAATGGTGTGTGTACATGCATGCCGGCACTCACACATACACATGAAATATAAAAGGAGAGAGAGAGATGGCTGTAGGATCTGAGTTCCTGGCAGACTTGTCTTAGCTACTCTATGCAGAGAAGATCCTCATGAGCGTGTGCATGGAGCAGATGCAGATCTGAGCAGCTGTCTAGTAAACCCTCAGTAAATGCTTGTTGTTATTATTCCAAACAAGAACTCCAGAAACATTCTGCACATAGTTTGGACTTTCTGTTGCCACCATTTCCTACCTGCCTCTCAGTTTCTAACTATTTCCATCAACTATAGGAATTTGGTTTTCAGCACACATGTGGTCAAAGCTACGGGTATAATGAAAGTCTCTCCCTCTGGCTCCCTTTCTCTGTACCAACCTGGTGCTGACATTTATTTTATATACTGGTAGATTACAGAGCAGTGGAGTCCAGAGACACTAGAATTCTTGATATTTTATCTCTTCATGTTAGGTTTTCTAAAGAAACTTACCTAGAATTGACTATTATCAATCAATTAAAATTGTCCCAGTTAGGTTTTTTTTTTTCATTTTTCTTTATAATACTAAATAAAAACACCTGGAGAGGTATTTAATTTTGATCATTAGCAAAATATGTTTGAGACTCATCTCTTGTCTAGCTCTGTAAATAAGATGTAGATTTGTTTTTTAAGAATAGTATCTTTACAGTTATTATTAGAATATGGTATTTGTTTCTCTTCCTTGTTTTTACTAAACTAAATAAACAACAGCCTTAGTGATGAAAGATTGGATCATGATAAAAATAACATAATAGTAACAGCGTTTTTCCACATCATTATTAACAAGCAATTTTTAAAATGAATGTGGTTAGTTTTCTAAAAATCAAGATGACAGGTAGCTGTTTGCTCACAGATTTGAAATTTAACTTTAAAAAGTACCTTGTATTTATTTATCTTATCCTTTGTATTTGGTGCTTTGTTTTTCTATGTTAATTTTACAATATTAAAAATGTGTTTCTACAAGCATCATCCATATGGAAATTTAAACATATCTGCACTATAAAGTCTAAGAAAAATCAGAAACTAGTCTAGTAAATTAGCTCAATATTAAGGGATGAATTATCTGCCTTCCAAACTGAATAAAAACATTTATGCTGAGCCTGTCAGGTCGAAATTCAGATTCCAGTCCAGTCCAGTTATATGTGGCGGTACTCCTCAGTGTCTCACTGTGAAGTGCAGACTTGTGAGGGGTAAAGACTTCACTCTTTCTTTACTCTGTCCCTTCTGACCAGTTTGATGGGATTTCTGCATAAAGTGTGGTACAAGATTGACAGTTCTACTTAGAGCTAGAACGTGGTCCATAGAAATAACAGGAAATTAGTTTGGATTGACTCTGTGACCTTTTTAAGGCAGCCCTTGAGTCTGCTCTTATCTCCTCTGGAAAAGTAAAAACGTATGCTGTGGCACAAAATTGTAATTCCAGCTACTTGGGAAATTGAGGCAGGAAGAGGAAGAATACTAGGTCCTCATGGGCTGTATAGCTGGACCCCTCCCCAACACAAAGGCACCCTGTTTGCAGAGTTGGGATTTTCTACATGCCATCTTTAAGCTGTTAGTATATTACAGAGCTGATGGCTTCAAGACATCCCGCTAAACCCAGTGACATGTGCCGCTTTTGTCATGTCTCTTTCACGTCTCCTTTCCCCTTCGACTTCTGTGATGCAGGGGACTTGCTCACTCTCTAGCACTTTAAGGATAGTTTACCTGGCACATGCCTCACCGAGGACTCCAGCTACAGGCCTTACTGCTCAAAAATGGAAAAGTGCCGAGGTCTCAGACAAATCCTACAGCCTACACAGAATTCTTTTTCTGTGCCTCCTTGGGGGACCTTGGAACAAAGTACCTTTGAAGTACTGTTCTTTGAAGTTTAGTTATTTGATGTCTCAATCCTTATCAGAGTAAGTGGTTCGAGGAGAGCTTGTTGCTAAGAACAAGCACAACCAAAAGCAAAAACTGACAGCTGCTAACCTAACAGAGACCCCGAGCAAGACTGTGTGCAGCCTTCACAAGGGTCGGTGCTGGTGGACAGCTCGGAATCCAACAACAGCTTAGCTTGTTTAAAATGGTGCTCTGCAGTCAGATGAAAGATTTACCCACATTCCGTGGATTCTGTCAAGGTGGGGTGATACATGGTGGATATATTTCTACCTTAAAAGGGGTGATACATGGTGGATATATTTCTACCTTAAAAGATTTGCCCACATTCCGTGGATTCTGTGAAGGTGGGGTGAGATATGGTGGATATATTTCTACCTTAAAAGGGTTAAAGTCTATGGCTATGTAAGAACTTCAGCCACATTGGATTCTTTATTCCCGAAGGGTTTCAGAAATTCCATTGTATGTTTCCACTTAACTCTGTGCTCCAAGTGACTGCTGTATCAGAGAGTGTGACAGATTAGTTTTCAAAGGTGTAGATGTCTCCATAGTTAAGTATTATAAGTTTGAGCTTTAGAAATTTCAGAGGCTTAATGTTTTTAACCATATCTCTTTCTTAATGGATTCTACTGTGTTCTTTGAATTAAGTTGTATGTTCTTTTTTTTTTTTCCTTTTAGATTGGTCGGTCAACTGAAAGTCCTATTGATTTTGTAGTAACTGACACAGTTCCTGGAAGTCAGAGTAATTCTGACACACAGTCAGTACAAAGCACTATCTCAAGATTTGCCTGTAGGATCATATGTGAGCGCAATCCCCCTTTTACTGCTCGGATTTATGCTGCAGGATTTGATTCATCAAAAAACATCTTTCTTGGGGTAAAAAACTTTTTTCCTAATGCATTCTTTTACACAAGTTTCTGTTTCCAAATTGCATATAAATAGAAGCTCACTATTGTTACAGGAAAAGGCTGCCAAATGGAAGACATCTGATGGGCAGATGGATGGCCTGACCACTAATGGTGTTCTTGTGATGCATCCACGCAATGGCTTCACAGAAGACTCCAAGCCTGGAATATGGAGAGAAATATCAGTATGTGGGAATGTGTTCAGTCTGCGAGAAACCAGATCAGCCCAACAGAGAGGAAAGATGGTAAATGCTTCTATATAGCTTCTTTTTACAACAATAAACAGCATGAGTTGAAGCGGATGTTGTGTGTGTGTGTGTGTGTGTGTGTGTGTGTGTGTTGGTTTTTTCAGCTCTTAGACATAGTTCTGACACAGGAAAACTAAGACCATCAAACACTGACTTCCAAACACCAATTTTAGATGATAGTGTTTTATTCAATTAGAAAAGATTAAGCATCTATTCTTTGTGTATGTCTTTGACTATACTTAACTAATTAAAAATAATTAAGTTTGTTGATTAACCAGGTAATTAAATCATAAGTTATCTTTTATCTTGAAAAAGAGAAGTTACTATTCAATGTGTTGTTGATTTTCAAATTCAACATTTTCATAACTTCTGCTGAAATTTCTATTTCCACATTACACATAAATAGAAACTTCCTTAAGTCTAGCAGGTAGCCTGGAAGGGCTGCCCTCCCCACACTTGCTGGGACTTATTGAAGATCTAATGTAAACACAAGGGTAAAAGTGGTTTTGATTCTTTTCTGCTTCAGGTGGAAATTGAAACTAATCAGCTACAAGATGGCTCCTTAATTGACCTTTGTGGTGCAACCTTGCTTTGGCGTACTGCAGAAGGCCTTTCCCACACTCCTACTGTGAAGCATTTAGAAGCTTTAAGACAGGAAATTAATGCAGCTCGACCTCAGTGCCCTGTAGGGTTCAACACACTAGCCTTCCCCAGTATGAAGAGGAAAGACGTTGTCGATGAAAAACAACCGTGGGTATATCTAAACTGCGGCCATGTTCATGGTTATCATAACTGGGGAAACAAAGAAGAACGTGACGGAAAAGATCGTGAATGTCCTATGTGTAGGTCTGTTGGTCCCTATGTCCCTCTGTGGCTTGGATGTGAAGCTGGATTTTATGTGGACGCCGGCCCTCCCACCCATGCCTTTAGCCCTTGTGGGCACGTGTGTTCAGAAAAGACAACGGCCTATTGGTCCCAGATCCCACTTCCTCATGGTACTCACACTTTTCACGCAGCCTGCCCCTTCTGTGCACATCAGTTGGCTGGTGAACAAGGCTATATCAGACTCATTTTCCAAGGACCTCTAGACTAACAGTGTCTGTAGGACTGCATTATAAATTTATAAGCTAAGGGAGTTGGGTTTTCCAACCCATTGTCCATGTAAGTTCCTCTGCTCTGGTCATTTGCATTAAGATGAAGAATTTTTTAAAATATTTATAATAGCAATTTCTGAGAAAAATCTGGGAACTCAAGCAAAGGAATTTTTGAAAGTTCCAGACTTCTGAATTCTGAGTTTTAAAACTATATTTTGAGGAGAAAAAGACATAGTCTAATCTGATGCCTTCGTTTTAGTGTTTTTTGAATCACCACCCATCCTCAGTGCTGAGTTGTTCTGTATAACTGAGGGTCTGTTGGTTCAAACTATGTTAGTTTACAATTTGTTGCAAACATTGTAAAATACAGCAACATGTATATTAATTTTTTCTATTTATCTTTATCATAGAAAATACCTTAGAATGTCATGATAGAATAGCATGGTGATGATGGCGTCACACACTTTGGTGTGAAATAGTTTAGTGGGCGCATAGCTCAAAGGATTTGCAGTTAAGAAGAAAGACGAGAGCTTCCTTCCCCAGGCACATATAAGTAGGGAATTTGATGAATTAGAGTATTTCATAAAACCAGATTCACATTAATTACATTGTCTAAGAGGTGTTTGTTTTTAACCACATTGAAGTTAATCGGAAAATGTTTTTTCCTTAATGTTTCTCTCAAGTGTAGTACTATAACAAAAGCTAATGCTAAGAGACATTTTATATGCTCCTTTGAATATGCAATCTAATCTAGATGATCTATTTTTCTCCCGTGGTAACTGATCTGTTTTTAGTGCCAGCGACATTTGGCAAGTTTATTTTTTTGGATATAAACTGTGGTTCATCTGTTCACTGTTTCTAAAAAAAAAGAAAAGAAAAAAGAAAAAAATCCTATGAGAAAGTGCATAAATTAACAAGAAATTAACAGGAAAATTACTTGATTTGCTTTTAAAAAAATGAAATAAAAGTATTTAGTTAATTACTCTGTATTTGGTTATTCCAGGCATCAGAAACCTAGAGCTCAAAGGGTTGAATGACAGCAGTCCCTCCCTTTCACCCCGCAGACCAGCCTTAACTCTGGGCTCGACTCCTGAGACAGCGGAGGAGGACACACCGCAGGGTCTCTTAGTTCTCTGATCCCAGTATGTGCTTTGCAAGACAGTTTCTTCTTACCCTAGCCTTTTTAAATGCCCCAGACGTACAAACAGTTGCACTACACCAAACCCTTTTAACACTTGTAGAAATCAGTGTACATTAGATTAGACAAAGTCACCTTTCAGTCTTTTGATTTCTTTTCCTTTAGTTTGAAAAATTGTATAATACTTAATTGACTATTGTCAAATTTTTATATGTGGTAGTATAGCTTTAATTTATCTTACTACATCAATGTTTTGATTTTCTTAAGTAAGACAAAAAAGTCACTTAGAAGCCATGAACTATTTTATTTTATTTGATTGTCAAAATTCTTTGTTTTGAAAATGATCATTTGGGTTCACTCAGGAAATGCATGTCAAGAAATTTGTATTATAAGTTAGCTGTGATGTATCAGTAACTGCTGGTTATTACCCTTTTTTCGAAGAAATTTAATTGATTTTGACGTTTTCTAGTCACATGCTTTGTGACTGATGCAAGGAAATCGAGTCCTGTGTTGTGTTTGTTCTTGTCACTTCTGTTGAGGCTATATATTGTAGCTTAATTTTTATTTGCAATTAATTTATTCAAACTAAGTAAATACTTTTCAAAATAGATATTTGAATTTGTCTCTGTGGGTTCCTTTTTTTACAGTTGAGAATGGGGAAGCCAGAAGTGATAAGTCTACCCCAGACTAAACAGATCGGCTCCACTCTCTGATGCAGTCATATTAAATACATAGGAGTTTGCATTTAGGGGAACACTAAAGTCTCTGTTCTCTAGGTTAGGCCTGTTAGGGAGCTGGAGACTGAGCTACCTGAATTGTGCTTGTGATGATAAAGGTTCATGTTCTTCCCAGAAGCCCTGAATTTTTGTCTTCTATCAGCTAAGATATAAAACATGGCTCATTTTCTATGCAACTCGAGTTTTTAAAACTCAGAAAATAAAAATTCTAAGTCAGACGTTTTTGTTCAAGCACTTTGAATAGTAGTTCTGTTTCTTTGGCGGTGCCATACTTACTCATCTGTGCTAAAGGAATTTCAGGGCCTGGACAGGTGGCTTAGCGGTCGAGAGTACTTGCTCTTGCAGAGGATGGGAGTTTCATCCAGCACCCGCTCGCGGCAGGTGGCTTACACCACATTTGATTGTCTCCAGGGAATCCAGTGCTCTCCTCTGACCTATGAGTGCCTGCACCTGTGCATGTGCAAACACCTCCGCACATGCAAACACATGCACATACTAGTAATGTGTGTGTGTGTGTGTGTGTGTGTAGGTGGTGGCAGCACATAGCTTTAACCCTGGCACTAGGGAAGCAGAGGCAGATGGATCTCTGAGTTTGAGACCAGCCTGGTCAACAGAGTGAGTTCCAGCCCAGCCAAGGCTACATAAAAAAACCTGTCTCAAAAATAATAATAATAATAAATGTTCATACATATTTTGGGCAAAGGAAAAATGGTTATATCTTCTTCTAAATGAACTCTCAAGGAGGGTAACTCTTAAGTCTTATCACATCAAAGTGATCTTATTTAGAAGGCCCTTACTCTGAAGGAAAGGGATTCTATTCCTACTCATGCAGCATGTTCTGGGGCGGGAAGCTCTGTCAGACAGTCCCAAGTATCTTTGCCAGGTTACCCCATCCATACCAGTTAATGCATCCTACCTGTTCTAGGTTACCCCATCCAACCCATTCTGCCTGTACCAGGTTAGCCCATCCTACCTGTACCAGGTTACCCTTGCCTGGCTGTTCCAGGTGGTACTGGAGATTAGAGCTTAAGGCCTACATGTACCTGGCAAGCATTTCATCAGAATTGTATTTTACCAACTCCTTTTGAAGCTTTGCTCTTAGAAAAATCTTATGGAACAGGGTAAAAATAAATAATTATTCAAATAAATCGTTACAGCTAACATTTAAATCCCCCCCCCCCCCAGGATATCTCAAGACTCAGGAGTGATAATGACTCTGACACAAACTGAGGGCTTTGGTAGGTATTCAATTTCTCTTTAAATTTGTAAACAACATATTTAGAATCGTGGCATTCGCCTCAGTGCAGCTCGCCCCTTCCCATGGCTTTTTCTCTGCGCTGCATCGCCGCACCTCACAGCCCTTCAGAATCACTCCTGAGTGTGCTCTGTCTTTCCACTCCCATCACTAGTCCTGGCAGAGCACACACTTGAATGCCTGTGTGTGGAATCTGTGTTCTAAACACTGAGGGATGTGTAGGCCATAGGGTGTGAGAAGGGGGAGAGCGGTCAAGCCAGGTGTGTAGGGGCGGAAGGGTGGCACTAGATCCTGAACCGCCTGAACTGTGAGATAGGAGTAAAGAAATCTGGACAGACAGAAGGGAGAGCGGGAGGTGGGGGTAATCCCAGAGAGCAGTCGGTGTCTGCGGTGGTAGTGAAGGTGGGCTGGATGCAGTTTGGGAGGCATGGCTGGCAGGACTCACTGCCAGATGCACCATGTGAACGGAAGTCTGGAGAGTGAGTGCTGCGGAGAGGGGCCAGGGTTCTATTCGTCATGTGAGCACACGCACACGTTCCATCAGCCTCGGCACCTGGAGTGATGGAATTGCTATTAATCCAAGTAGATGTTGGTGGGGAAACAGTTTAGGAAGACATTGAGATAGTAAATAAAGACTGTAATCATGGACATTAACTCAAGACTGGATGAGATTTTTGTCAGAGATGGATGTTTCCCCTTTGTTTATGATGCTGGGAATGGAGTGTCCTGCCTAGCCGGTGTGAGGCAAGCGCTCATGCTGCAGCTGTACGTACCCAGGACCTCCCTCTGTAGCCCAGGCTAGCCTTGAACTCATGATCCTCCTGCCCCTCCCACCAGAGTGTTGGGATTATAGGCATGTGCTACCACGCCCAGCTTGCTACCTTTTTTAATATTGACACTGAAGTTTTCAACCGTTATAATCAGCGTTGTCTGTATACCCCATGCTGGCTTAGAAACAAATGGAAAGTATTTCTCCTGATGAATGTGGACTCCCTTTTACTGAAGTAGAGTCGGCTCAGCTCTCGGTACGTCATTGCTCTGGCTACCCTCTGAGGAAATGAAGTTCTCTTCAATGGCAACAACTTCCTAGTCTGATGAATTTTCTTACCCCACTCATACAGACTTTTTTTTTTTTTTTAATCTTGGCTATTTTTAAAAGTAGTCCTCAGAGGCCGGCAAGATGGACTGGCTAGTAAAGGCATTTACTGTCAACCTTGGCACCCTGAGTTGACCCCAGGATCCACATGATAGGAGCAGGCAGCTCCCATAGTTGTCCTCCGACTCCGCAGGCACATCATGGATCACATGCGTGCCAATACACAAGGACACACGAAGCAAAATGAGCTTTGAAAACTTGAAATTACTTTAAAATTTTAAAATTGCTTTTAAACGTTAATTTACAATTACTTTTAAATTAAAAAATAAAGTGCAGTTTTCTTACATGTTAGCAAGAATTGTCTGCTTCCTATCTTTTTGACATGATAGCACTCATTTTCCATAAGGCTTCAAAAAAACATTGAAGTGATACATTTGGAAAGCAGAGCTCTGAAGCTTGTTTTATAAATCTGGATTTTAAAATCTGCTTCCCTGGAGGAAGTAATGTCTCTGTCTGGTAATTGTCCACAGAAAGTCAAGTAAGTAAAATCAGACGAACTTTCCCAGTAACTCAGCACAGCTTGGGAATGCTGGTCTAGACGCTGTGATGTAGAAACCAGGTTCTTCGTGTTAAACTGTAAATGCAGCCACGTGAGTCCAAGGTAAGTCACTGAATGTCTGCTGTATGCCAGTCATTGCTACAAACACAATATTGAGAACACCCACCCATTTAAGTAATTTAATTTAAGTAACTTAAGTAATAAATTAAGTAATTATGGCCACAGCATATTTAATACACAAGATAAATGTTCAAAAACTATTTCTCAATAATCAGAAAAAATTGATACCCTTTAAGCTATCATCACACACTTGTAAGAAACACTAATAAAAATAACCAAAGAAACGGCTGCCGAAGCTGTTGAGTGAACCAGAAAACCTGAACAGGCGACCTACACAGCACAGCGCTGACTTAAGTTCGGCACTATAAGGAGAAAACCCATGAGGAGTGCTCAAGAGAACTACAGGAACACTCGCCTGAGGAAAAGAAACACCAAGTGTCAACTTGGCACAAAGCTAGGGTCTCCCAGAACGGGGGGGACCTCTGCTGAGGATTTGACCAGATAATGTTGGCCTGTGGCCATGTCTGTGAAGCAATTTCTGAATTCCCGGGGGCAGGCGAGCGAGAGACCAGGAGAGTGAGCCTGTGGGTAGTGTTCCTCATGGTCTCGGCTTTCGTTCCTGTCTTCAGGTTCCCACCCTGACTTCCTTAGTGATGGGCTGGAACCAGTGAGCTGAACTGCGCATTTCTACCTATGTTGGTTTTACAATCAGCCACAGGACAGTGAGTTAGAAAACCAAGTGTAGCTAAGGTGTTTGATGCCCAGACGATGAAGAGCACAGATGGCTGCCAATACTTGTAGGGAAGATTAGGACTGTATTATCTTAGATGAACTGAACATCTCTTACATTAATTATAATTAATTAATTCCATTAGTTAATTCCATTATTGTACAATTAGTGGCTTTCCAATTTGGATATAAACTAAAAGGATTCTGGCAGTCAAGTTGCAGATGAGAAAACCAAGTCCTGTCCAGGCAAAGCGGCCTGGCATCTACTGATAGAAACCTGGTACTAGGTCCTCCATCTCCTCTGTCTGCCTTCATTTGTTTGTTAAGACAAGAGTTCACTCAGTAGCCTTTACACTGCCCTAGAACTCAGTGTGGGACCAGGCTATAACCAAGGCTGTCCTTGAACTTCAGTAGTTCTGCCTCAGCCTTCAGAGTCTTAACTTACAGGTGTGAGCCACCATGTCCAGTTTATTCCAATCACTTGTTTATCATAAATTCGAGTTGCACAGGATTAGTATGTTCTCATGTTTTCATTGTTAACACACGGGTAATACATTACATTTAGTAACTTTATTTCTAAATTCTGAGTGTCTACAGAATGGAAATAACATCATGTGAACAGAGGTCCCCACGTGTATGAAATGGTCTACTTTGGATTTGGTTTCTTTAAAACGAGACGATTTGGGGCCAGATGTTGCAGCCGCTGGAGGTTGCGGCTGGCCTGGCCTACATAGTGAATTCCAGGACAGCCAGGGCAACAGAATAGACCTTGTCTCAAACAACAACAAAAACAACTTGGTTTTGGAAATGAAAAACAGGAGTATAGGGAGAATCAAGGGTGGCGCACGCCTGTAGTCCCAGATCTTTGGTAGGCTGAGAAAGGAGGTACACGTCAGTCAACGCTTAGACGGGATGGTAGGAAGAGCCTCCCTCAACCAACCAAAAGAAAGGAAAAAACAGTCCACTAGTTTTACTTCGGTGCTCTCTGCTCTCCATAGCCACTCTAAGTCACTCGGCAAATGGGTGTGCGCCGGGTGGCAAGGCTTACTTTGCATATCCCACTTCTGCAGTGGATTCAGACTCCTCAACTTCACTTGGATGCTTTATTGAATTCCTATTAAAATGTTTTTTACTTGAAATGGAGATGGTAACAATCACTGTGTGGTCAAGTAAT